GGACTTGCTAAGCTTCCCTAGGCCTCGCGTCGCGTGTTCCTATTGGACGACGCACTCCTCGGGCAGCTGTGCTGCTTCTGTAACCTCCGATTGATCCATAAGCGAGCCCTGTCCCAATTCAGCTAGATTGTGGAGCACTGCTGGTGGAGTTACGCTGGTCCAACCGTAGACCGTAACACATAGCACCTTACTTAGACTCTAAGGCTTTAAGTTAAGGCCTAGAGAGAGAAGGGCAGATGTTACAAGTACTAGTTAGGCTAGAGGAACATGCAGGTCTCTAACTCTATAGAGGAAGAATAGACTAAGGCTAGTAAGAGCATCCCCTCTAGAGATTATGTTACGTGATCCTCTAGAACAGGTATAGTGTGTATGCAAGAGTAAGAAAGTAATTATAGAGCTTAGGAAGTAATTACAGCAGTTGCACGCTAAGGTGTGTAATTAAGTCTTAGGTTTTGTAATTATTATTACTACTTTTAAGTATATAGTCTTAACTTCCTACCTTTTATAGAAAGTTATAGTTATTCTTTAACATAGAACATAGTTCTAGGTATGGTAATATATCTAATATCTTTTCTAACTAGAAGCGTGTGAAGACTATTCTTCTATTTATAATAGTATAAACACATTAGTTATTTAACTCTCTCTTTACTCTAACACTATTCTTCTTATCTTCTACCTTACCTCTGCTCTACAAGGATTGTACAGGGGACTGTACACCCTCTAGACACTGTTGTAAGTTAATGCATAAGAAAACATATATTTTTCTAATCCTCTTCCTCTTCTCTTCTATCTCTACTCTTAAAGACTAGTTATTAGCAGAAGGCACCTAGCAATAGGAAAGTTAAGGTAAGATATTGTAGCAGCGCCCTGCCTGCCAAGTTAATACTATCAACTTTCCCTACCGTACTAAAAAGTACGCACGAGAATACTTAAGCTAAGTATTCTCGCATAGTATAATATATGTATAGAAAATGCTAGGGCTAGCACTAGCACTAGCGGTTGCATCTAGTCTAGCCTAAACCTCTTTAAGCAAGAGAAGGCCACGTAGCTAACTGTGTCTACCTTATTATAGTAGCTTTTTTATAGCTATATAAGCAAAATAGCTATTAGTTAAAGAGATTAAAAAAATTAACTGATTACTAACTTAAGTAATATTTTAAGTATACTAAAAACATAGTTAACTAAGCTATATATATTGCTGCTAGCTAGCCTTCTTATTAAAAATTAACTTCTTAAAAAACACTAAATTCTTTACTACAAAGAATTTTATTAAGTTATAATAGAAGTTATAAAGATTTTTATTTTAATTAAGGAAAAATACTTAAACTATTTAGTAACTTTAATTTTAGCAAATTTAGTTAAAGTAAATAAGGTTACTAAAAAAGGTATTTGTTTATACACAGTACACGCACCGCTCTAATCTACAAAACGGTATAATAGACATTACATAACCTAATCACGTAGTAGTTGTACAGTTCCTGTCTAGACCTTGGCAGAAGAGATTCTAAAACATAATCTCCTCCACTTAAGAGCTAGATAGAACAAGAATAAACAACTAATAACCCCCTCTTATACCTATAGACTGTACGAAAGTGTACTTACAGAATCGTACAAAATGCCCGCTCACTCCGCGCCTAACTGTATAAGAAAGTCTATTTAATAGTATGTTTTTTTTTTTACTAATTCGTACTAAATAACTAAGCTTGCTTTAAATAAGTGCTTTTATACTGCTATATATCTATATATTATCTATTATATTATGTACTATATAGTTACTATACTATTTTTAATAGTAATTACTTAAAGCTTTTTTCTAAGCAGTAAAAGATAATATATTTTAATATATATATATAATTAGATAGTCTATCGGTGCTTCTAGTAAGTGCCAGAGGCTGCTAAGTAAGTAGTGGGTAATAAAGACTTTATAAGCTTAAAATATTGCTAGAAAACATATTTTAAATATTAAAACATATCTTTATTATTGTCTAAACAAAAAGTATACAAAGCGACTAAATCTTTACTAAAATTAAAAAACATTAAGTACTTATAAATTTTATAGGTAAAATTTTAAGTTCTTATATAAATTAAGTAGCAGAAAGCAAGGTTTACGGTGTTGCTAAGACATTGCACAGATTAACGCGCACAATAAATCTAAGCATACTAACGGCCTAAGGTGTCCATTTCTCCACCCACCCGTGGACATTTGGGGCCAGCGGGCAAGGTCAGCCGAAGGTAGAACAGTCCAGAGCTTGGAGAGGACAGAGACCAAGCCCCCCGCATCAGGCCTATTGACCTTGTTGGAAAGAGTAATACTTTTAAGATTCCAGAGACAAAATAAATACCGCAGACTCTCAGGAGCTCATTGCCGTTCTGACTTCTGGGCGACGCAAGAAGCATTGCACTTACCTACTTACCCAATTGATCGTTGCGAGCTTTTCATTTGCTTTAAATTGGTTGCCTTGATTAGGGCTGCTCCAAGACCGTTCCAGACTCGGTCGCGCAGAAGGTACCGCCGAAAAGGAAGACATAAAGAGCGTCCTTTAATAAATCGATACGTAAGCGGAGTATAAGCATCAACAAAGGTTATGGAGCTCGTTTCTTCCAAACCCAAAAAAGCCCGACGTGGCAGACTACCTCACTTTTCCACATTCGTTCCTGTACTCATAATCCCAACTCATGAGATTAAGAGAACACGACAACTTCCCTACCACTTGCAAGGAGTATTAGGCACTAACTCCCTTCATTTCTTTTCACTAGCGTCCTCCTCTGGGACCGAATGGAAGCGGGACATGGCTCTCACCGGACAGGCGCCCGGCTTCAGAATCCCGCTCTTCCTCATCCTTAACGTCTTCACCATCACTCGTCCTCTGGAACCAAGGTGAACTGTGAATAGAGCACAGCACGTGACATCCCCTCTTTCGAATCCCATTCTTCCACCTCATACTCGCCAACATCCTCATCCTCCTGTCAGTTTTCCTTGCTTCCCTCCTCCTCTATCTCATCATCACTACACGCCGCGAGCCAAGTATTCATACGATAACCCGTCTGCTTCGCAAAGGCCACCGCCTCGTTCTCCTTCTCGAAACCTTCCCACATCGCAAAACCCTGTTTACCCCTGACGCTCTGGCGCTCTGCGAAGCGCAGACGCCGCCGTCGACGCACAAAGCGCATCTTCTAGTGGCTCCGCTCGGCCATATTCCTGAAAAGCTAGTCGAAGTAGTCCGGAGGCATCTATTTGAGACCGTGTCTCTTGCGGTACGCCTCGAGCTCGGCCCGGCTTTTCTCCATCTCCGATTCATCCTGTTACCAGAGTCAGAACGGCACACACAGAGTCGCCGACTTATATTTCGCTGAACAAATCTGTGTCACGACTTACGGTGTCCAAGCAAAACTTGTCCCGCGTCAGAGAACGTAATGTATCTTCCTCCTTTGAGGTAAAATGAATGACGTTGGGCAGATTGCGGCAAAGTTGGCCACCTGAGAGATAGACTCCATCAGCATCTCGTCTAAAGTCCGAAAAGTCCGACGGGGTGACCAGCTTAAGGATGGCATAAAGGACGGAGGGTTGGATAGCTAGATCCGAATCAAACAGCGCAGCTCATGCACCCTATCAGAGGCATTGCCGTAAGTTGTGATGCATGGCGAACTTTGCTCGCCGACACCTCTTCAGGGACGGAACGCTTATTACAAGCCTACATTTCCTGCTCTGAGCGTGTGTATCATTCACTGGTAGACTCGTATCAGCTGCAGTCCCTACACCGGATGAAGAAGCGTTAGGAATACGTTACCACCTCGTCCTCATACTTGCTGGCTCCATGGTCGGTGTCAGGGATCGCGCAGCGTCCGCTGGAGAACACTCAGGCTTGATAATTATATGGATGCTAGACTAACATTAATTACTGGGCACTAAAACCTTAAAGTCTCAAGGTAGGAGGAGCGATAGGAGGACCAAGGCATAGGAGATAGTACATACTATAGCGGAACGTCTCTACCACATTGCATTGATTCCAGTGGCATGGGACGATCCTTATCTTAGTACTTGATCTCTCCCAGTTTTTTAAAGAAACTCCCAAAAAATAATCTAACGATCCAACCCTGTTTGGCAAGTAGAGAGATGCCATGGATGCAATACCCAGAACTGTAGGCGTTGATCTTTTCCTTAACCCCTATACACCTTTATACTGTTCACAACGACATTAACTCTGCCGTTGTTAGGTCTGTATCTAAGCTATTATTCACACATAAACTAAGGATATTTTAAGACCTCTGCAGCAAGGAGACAACAGCTTAGCTTAAAAACTAGAATGCTTCTTAAAAGTTAGAGAAAGGTGGAGTGCCAAGCTTGCGAGAGCTCTAGTAGTTGCTTAAGAATTTAAGAGTCTAAGGGACGAATTCGCTGGATCTGGTCGTCAAACTATTGGTGTTTCTTGCCTAGATTTCTAACCTCTAAGTGGTTGTATTTCTTATGGAAGGAGTGTTGCTATGCTTCTAGCAGAGCGTTAACAGTTTTAATTGTCATGGCTACTACCTCGTTAGAACTAAAGCCTGGGGGTACAAGCACTTAAGATGTGTGCATCTTAAAGATAAGGCAACTAAAAGCCTAAAGATCTGCAGCGCAGGACAGTTAGTACCTAAAAAGCAGCTTAGGAGTAAAGAATAAGGCAGGGGTTCCTGGTTCTTTAGGTACGTTGTCTTTAAAGAATGCCTTACTAAAGTTAGTAATAAGGGCATTACTTAACAAATGTTCTATGTTAAGTTAAGTGTAGTTAAGTGCGTTAAAAACACGCGTTAGAGCGAATACTAGTGTAGGAGTTCCATCTAAGAGTAGCAGCAATGCTATCTTAGGTGGTCCTAAGTAACAATAGATCTTATCTTTTGTCTATTATTAAAGACTGGTAATCTTAAAAAGCGCATTAGAATCTGTGAGGTCTAGATTTTAGTAAGCGGAGGAGTCCTATAAACATTCTAGGGCACTTACTACCGTAACATACACCGGACTTATGAAGGGCTACAAGGCCTTCTTCTGGTTTCCTGGCCGCGGCTTTAAGAAATAGCAGTAGAGGGCGTTTGCAGTATAACGTAACATGCTTAAAGCTTAGCCCACTAAGGTTAAACACTAAGCATTAATATGTCACGGTTATGTTACAGCTATCCAACCCCTGAGTACCCTAAGGGCTTGGCACGGGGTATATAGGCTCCTCGGCCTCCGTACCTCTGCCTCCGACCCTAAGGTTTACTCTCGTTACCCCCTATCCTGCATTCCCTCTCTGTGACCTGTGTTTCCTGCTCGATACCTCTCACATAATAGAACTTATTAGGTCTGCAGATTGCAAATGTTTTGCAGAGGTTAGTAAATTAAATGTTTCCTAGCGTATTATTAAAATGCTCTAAGACTTTAACCTTGCAATCTAGAGCATTTGCTTTTAGGATTTTAAGCGCAACATATTAACTTGGTCTAGGTCCTAAGCTAGCTAGACAATAGCGAAGCCTTTGTTTCTAAGTTTATATAAAATTTTAACCTGTATCTAACTATATTGCCTAGGTTAACAGGGTGATACCCACCAGGCCTGTACATATTCACTTCCTCGACGTTCTCGAAGACAGGCATCTAAAAAGCGAACTGTCGGGAGCGTTGTGATGGCGGTAGTGGTGGGGGCGGTGGCGGGGGCAACCTTGTTCGCGAGTCATCAGCGCTTTAAGAGATCATGCTTGAGCGAGGATAGAGCAACCTAAAGGAGCGGGACTCTTGAGTCTTTAGAGGTTGTTGGTTTACAAGTATTAAGTTTGATTAAAAAGGGCGACAGAAGGCACAGGCTTATAAGCGCTTCCTACCCTGTGAGAGCGCAAAACCGCTGTCTCGCACATGCTGGTGGATACAGGCCTCTGCACTTTTAAGGCCATTTAAGGTCATTGAACTCACAATTATGCAGCTCCATGCTGGTGGTGGTGGTGGCAGCGCTGGTAACTCTTGTTGCAGAGCGGAGCATTCTTTTTGGAGTATTTTTTCAGAGTTGTGGCTTGACGATATGAAGCTAATCAATGCCTGTGGCTGGTGTCCGAGAAATAATTTTTCTGGTAAATTACGGAATTAGGGGCTGGACCGAATACTAGCGGCCTCTGAAATAGAGTAAAAGCATTTTAGATAACGCGGTTTAGAGTAAGGATATATTACGATAATTTTATCTTCTCGCCCATATCTCTCTAGCTCTTTAATATATTTCTAAATATAGGCTAACTATTTCGCTCGGTGTCACGGGAGTGACATATCAGCGTTCACCATTCTGTCGCACGCATCATGTCACGTGATTGCCACGTGACTGTGTTTCATATTTTCCCTTTCTGACAAGTCACCTGATGTTTTACCACATGACTTCACAACAAGTCACGTGGTTTCTCTATTAGGCCTAGAGCCTCTCGCAATCCTTTTACTACACCAACCCTACTCTTGTATTTAGCTTCTTCATGCAACGTCTTGTTAGTTGAATTGATACATTCATCACGAAACCATCTAGCTAGCACAGCTAGCTGCTAACCACGTGCATCCTACAACTGCTTCTATGCGTTCCGTGACCCATTGCCTCGCAGCATTCAATATTTAGCCAATACTAGAGCTGACTTCCAGCGGCTAATTTTATATAGCTGGCCAAGTTCTAGGGCATCTTATAGGGCGGCCTATTTCTGGGACATCGGATGGCCTAGTTCTAGGCTACTTAACCTCTTCAACAATGTGGCCCGTTTCTAGGCTTCCTTGCCAGCTCACCCTTGCAGTCCTCTCTCTCATGAAGTTGACGGGAAACCACAACAGGATTTTCTATAATCGGGGCTGGCTAACGGAGTTGGGATGGGAAGGTGAGTTGGAAAGTGAGCAGCAGAGCTGTGGCGGTGCAAGCTGAGCATCCGGTGAGACGAAGTTGAGCCAGGAGTAATTCTGCTTATAAATCTGCGATACGGCGCTAATCAAAAGGGGAAGTGGGAGGAGGTCAGTTTGCGTCTGAGATGCGCGGGGATATTGTACGATAAACAGCCAAGCCTATCTAAAATTGGTTAGTATTAAGAGCTGTTTATCCTTCAATCATAAGTGTGTAATTTCAGTTTACGATTCAGAATTGGTCGAAGATCATTAATGGGGGTTAATATATTTAACATATCACCCACATTGTGATCGGTTATTAAATGATTAATAAATGGGTGCGGCTGTTAAAACCTGTCTCCCATCCCACACTTTCTGAGCTGTGCACCAAACTCCTCATGTTTTGAGGGAATTCCTAACGCATGTATTCCAACCTCTCATCCATCGTCCTGGTAGCCTGGCTGGCTCGCCTAGCCATGGCCCAAACCTCCGAGGAGCACCCCTTGCTACTGACCTGGAAATGTACTACCTCAGGAGGCTGCGTGCAACAGAACACTTCCATCGTGCTTGACAAGGACTCCAAATATGCCAAAAGTACCGCAGGCTCGAGAACGGCAGCCGACTACGCTGCCATGGGAGTTTCTACCTCAGGGAACGCCCTGACCCTGGCTCACTACGTCAAATCGGGCAGCCAGCTCAATCCCGCGTCTCCGCGCGTTTACCTCCTGGGTGACGACGGCAAATATGTTATGATGAAGCTTCTCGGCCAGGAACTCTCTGTAGATGTTGACTACTCAGACGTGCCTTGCGGGGAGAACGGCGCTTTTTATCTATCAGAGATGGCAGCCGACGGCAAGGGTAACGCTGCAGCCGGAACCGGCTACTGCGACGCGCAGTGCCAGGGCTACTGCTGCAATGAGATGGACGTGCTCGAGGCCAACTCCAGGGCAACAGCTATGACAGGCCACCCATGCAATGGCAACAATTGCGACAAAGGTGGCTGCGCATACAACCCATACCAGAGCGGGCAGCGCAACTTTTGGGGACCTGGCCAGACAGTCGATACGTCGAAGCCTTTCACGGTCATTACGCAATTCCAAGCCAGCGGTGGTAGGCTGTCGTCCATCACGCGCAAATATGTCCAGAACGGGCGACAGATTACCAGCGGTTCGATTTCCAACTGTGGCTCCGAAGGGTCGACTGGTGGTCTAGCCGGCATGGGCGCGGCTCTTGGGCGCGGGAGTAGGTGGCTACCTTGCACTGTACATTTACTAAATTTTCAAAACATTCTCTTCCCAAACATCCTCTCGCTAAGCTCTTAGAGCTTAGCGCGCTTTTCAACGAATTCACCTGCTGACTTTAAACTTTATAGTGGTGCTGGCAATCAGCATCTGGAACGATGCTACACAGCAAATGTCCTGGCTTGACTCTGGTAACAATGGGCCTTGCCGCAGCGGAGAGGGAAGTCCATCCAACATCCAGGCTCAGCACCCTGGCACTCACGTCGTCTATTCTAACATAAAATGGGGCGACATCGGATCTACCACCAGAGGATAGTTCTGGAGACCATCGGGACGTGCATCCGACGCATCTGCCGGTCTCTGTGTACAATACAACTGGGAGGCCGGACTACTCAAAGCACATATGGTGTGGGGAAGCTCTGTATTTACTTTCCGAACTCTAAAGTTTAAATAGATGGAAAGTGTTAGTGATATAGTCTTTCCTTGCCAGGGGCGAGGGGAAAGTAACTGTTGCGAAATCGAAATCTTAAAACTACCACTACTACCACTACACTCTATACTCTAGGCAGTGCTAATGTAAGGCCTGATGTCCCAGAACGGGCCAGTATGGCCTCACTTGGCCTGTTTGGAGGTCACATGACCTGTGCTTCGTATATAAGTGTTACGATATCTTACCTCGACTTTCCTATTTCTAGGTGCCTTCTGCCGGTAACAGGTCTCTTTAGGAGATAGGTAGGTAAGGAGAGGAGAGGGATGGGATTGTGACAGGGTGTGTCACGTGATACTTCAACTTACAATAGTACTTAGAGGGTGTGCAGTCCTCTGTACAATCCTAGCGAAGTATTAGTAGAAGAGGGAGGAGGAGGGTAAGGTAAGAGTAAAGAGGGAGTAAGATAACTAATGTGTTTATACTATTATATATAGAAGAATAGTCTTCACACGCTTCTAGTTAGAAAAGATATTAGATATATTACTAACGTACTTTACAGGCGAGTTGCTTACACACCTGAGTTGCTTACTTTTGCTAAGACTACACCCTAACAAACTCTATTACAGCCTATAATAACCTGCTCTAGCACTATATAGTATAGTATAGCCTAGAATATTATTTAGATACTACTTCTACTTCTTACTTACACATTTGTGCGTTATGCCTAGTCTAATTACACTATCTGCAGCGCCTTTAAAATAGCTTACTTATGTTAGCTTATACTTACTTTTTTACTTTTTTTTATTACTACGCACTTAAAACTCTTTTAAAGCTGTTAAGTGTAAGCTTTTATAAATTATTAAAGTTTTTTTTACTTTAATTTTATTTTTTTACAATTTATGTTATATAGTAACTTTATTAGCTACTTAAAGCTTAATAATTTTTTATTATAACGTACCTAACAGGTTAGCCGGCCACACAAGTTAGCTAGCCACTTTTGCTAAGCCCCTACTACACTCTACTTATCTACATAATGCTTTAACAACAACACTAAATTAAATCTTCTAAAGAATGTTAAATACAGCTTACTTTTTAAGCTTTTAAATTAGACTTAAAACTTTTTTTATAACACGCTACAGCTATCTATAATATTTTTTATATAATACTAAGTAATTAACGCGCTAGACAGCCTTTATAAGTAGAATAATAGCCTAAATTAAAAAATCTAACTAAGCTTAAAAAAAAGTAGTTATTAAGTATATATTTAAGCTTATTACACATAGATTTTTTTTTAGGCTTATAGCTATAGCTAATATAGCTAATTCCTTACGCGCAAAGTGTAATCTAGGCTAGGTTAGCTTAAACTAGCCTAGTATGTAGGTTAAGCACTACCTTAAGTTTATAATAAAGTTTAATTATAAGTATAATTAAAAAAAAGCGCTTTATAAAAATCTAAAGGTCATCTAAGGCTAGTTTTACTTAGTAGCTAATATAAAAGCTAAGTATAGTATCTAGAATAAAAACATGTATAACTTTAATAAGTTAGGCTTTATAATAAGCTAGATATTAACTAAAGCAGTTATTACAGCTTTAAAAAGATAAAAACAGCTAAAAGTAATATAGTAAGGTAATAAAAAGAAGATAATAGTTATTTAGAGTATTAATATAATAAAGTAAGCTATTTTACTTTTTATTATCTTTAAGAGCTGCTATTACTTTTTTACCTAGTATAAAAAAAATCTGCCTTAGAACTAAGTTATTATAGTCTGTAAAAACAGCTAGATAATAAATAAGCTTAAGCTGCAGTAGTTAAAGCACTTTAATAAGCATATAAAAAGAAAAGTTATAGGCGCTTATTAGCTTTTTATTATTAATAGCTATAAAAGCTATAACTTACTTAATTTTTAGTAGTACTATAAAAAGAATAAGATTATTACTATTTATATACTTTTATACTTATTGCACCTTTTATAGCCTTTTAATGTAGGTTGTTTTGCTTTTTTAAAAAAAGTGTATAAGTGCTAAGCTAAAGATCTTATATATAACTAGATTACTTATATTATAAAACTTAAGTTTCTACTATGCTTTATACACGCCTATAATGTAGTAATTACTTATAGTAATATCTAAGAAGGGTTTTAAAGCACTAGTTTAGTTTTATTTAACTTAGAATAAGTTAAAATAGCCTTTAATGTCTAGTTATGTACTTTATTATTACTACTACTAATTAATAATAAGCTCTAGCAGTTATAAACTCCAAGTAATACTTTTAAATTTAAGTTATAATTAATGCTTATAAAAGTAAGAATTTAAAGGCATATAAATAGCTTACTAATGTTTATAGTAAAGGCCTTTAAAAAGGTCTTAAAGGGGGCAGTAATTATTACATATAAGCTAGTATTAGTGTAAAAAGAGATTATAAAGCTTTAAGTAGTAAATAAAGCTACTATATAACATAGATTACATAAAAGAAAGCAAATTTAGGTAAAAAAAACTTTAATAGTTAAAGATAAGGCTTGTTTAACTGCTTTAAAAGAGTTTAAAGCGCGTAGTAATAGGAAAAAGCTAAAGACGCAGGTGCGCGCTAAAGAAGGTAAGCTAAGTTAAAGGTAATATAAGCAGTGTAATTAGACTAGGCATAATTTATATATATGTAAGAAAGTAGTAAAAGTAGACTTTAAATAATATCTTGTGTTGTATTACTCTATATAGGGCTAAAGTAGGCTGTTTTGCGCTAGAATAGGGTGGTTTTAGTAGGGGCTTAGCAAAAGTGGCCGGCCAACCCGTGTGGCTAGCCAACCTGTTAGGTACGTTACTAATAATAGCTTATGCATAATTCTTACTACTTTTTTTAAAACTTTTTTAAACATTTTAACTATAAAAGTTAGTAAACTATTTATATACTTTTAAATTTTTATTTTTATAAGTATTAATTATAACTTAAGTTTTAAAGTAACTATTACTTAAAGTTTATAACTACTAAAGCTTATTATATATAAGTAGCAGTAGTAATAAAGTGTATAACTTTATATTAAAGCTTATTATAACTTATTATAAGCTAGGAAAAACTAATTTAGTGCTTTAAAACTTTTTTTAAATGTTACTAAAAGTAATTATCGCATTATAAGCTACTTTAAAAAATAGTAAAAACTTTACTTTTATAATATAAGTAATTTAGTTATATATAAAGTTTTTAGCTTAGTGCTTATAACGTACTTCATGGGCGAGTTGCTCACACACCCGAGTCGCTCACTTTTGCTAAGACCCCACCCTAACGAACTCTATTATAGCCCATAACAACCCGCTCTGGCACTATATAGTACAGTATAGCTTAGAATATTATTTAGATACTACTTCTGCTTCTTGCTTACATGTTTGCGCGTTATGCCTAGTCTAATTGCACTATCTGCAGCGCCTTTAGAATAGCTTACCTACTTTAGCTCACACCTGCTTCTTTGCCTTCTTCCTGTTACTGCGCGCTTTAAACTCCTTTAGAGCTGTTAAGCGCAGGCTTTTCTAAATTATTAAGGTCTCTTCTGCCTTAATTTACTTTCTTTTATGTAATTTATGTTATATAGTAGCCTTATTAGCTGCTTAAAGCTTAGTAATTTCCTGTTACACTAACACTAGCTTATGCGCAATTATTGCTGCCCCCTTTAAGACCTTCTTAAACACCTTAACTATAGAAGTTAGTAAACTATTTATATGCTTCTAAATTCTTATTTTTATAAGCATTAATTATAACCTAAGTTCTAAGGTATTACTTAGAGTTTATAACTGCTAGGGCTTATTATATATAAGTAGTAGTAGTAATAGAGTGCGCAACTTTACATTAAGGCTTATTATAACTTATTATAGGTTAAAAGGAACTAATCTAGCGCCTTAGAACCCTTCTTAGATATTACTAAAAGTAATTATAGCATTATAAGCTACTTTAAAGCATAGCAGAAACTCTATTTTTATAATATAAGTAATCTAGTTGTGCATAAGGTTTTTAGCTTAGCACTTATACACTTTTTTTAAAAGAGTAAAACAACCTACATTAAGTAGCTATAAGAGGTGCAATAAGTAAAAAAGCATATAAATAGTAATAATCTTATTATCTTTATAGTATTACTAGAAATAAAGTAAGTTATAGCTTTTATAACTGTTAATAACTAGCAGATAGTAGCTGCTAACAGTACACTTCTTTATATGCGCGTTAAAGTGCTTTAACTAGTCTAGACTAAGCTAATTAGTAGTCTAGCTGCGCTTAGAGATTGCAATAACTTAATTCTAAAGTAGATTTTCCTTCTTGTACTAGTTTAAAAGGTAGTTGCTACTCTAGAAAATAATAAAAAGCAGAATAGCCTACTTTTTAGCATTAATGCCCTAAATAGCTGTTGTCTACTTCTAGTTGCCTAGCTAGACTGCTTTTAGCTGTCCTTATCTCTCTAAACCTGTAACAACTGCTCTAGTAGATATCTAGCCTATTATAAACTCTGTCTTGTTAAAGTTGTACGTGTTGTTATTCTAGATACTATACTTAGCTTTAATATTCTTTATAAGGTTAAACTAGCTTTAAATTACTATAAGATCTTTATAAAAAGCTCTCTTATAGTTATACTTACGCTTAAACTTTACTTTAAGCTTTAAGTAACACTTAATAAATATATTAGGCTAGTTTATGCTAATATAGCCTATATTACGCTTAGCGTGTAAAGAATTAGCTATATTAGCCACAGCTGCTAGCTAGGGGGGAAATCCTTATGCATTTAGCTTAAGTATGTGCTAAATAATTACCTGCTTTTTATTATTATCTAGCTTTTATAAGTTAGCTGTATAATTAGCTTAGAAAGGTTGTCTAGCGTGTTAGTTACTTATTATCTTTTAAGAGACCTTATAGA